ACAGTGATATGGTTACTGATAATCTGATACAGCACAAAACTGTTGGGAATAGCTGTTGAGCGTGATCTGCGGGGGGGCTTTGATAGTTATGTATTCAGCCCGGGCCACTCTTTCGAAACAGAAAGAAGGGTCACCAGACTGGTCTGCATGTATTCGGCCTAACTATATACACTTGTCCGAGACTACCTAACATCAATGTCATTGTGCACTAGGCTTGGAGGCTTTGGTCCCACCCGTTTTCACTTCCTTCTCGAGCAAGTCCAAGGCAGATGCATAGCGTGCCTTGACCTCCTTCATAATGTCCAATTTGAATTGCACCTTTCCTACCTTGGTCGATCGAGTGATCTTCCCATCCGACCCCTTGGCGATCTGGCTTGCGAACCACTTGCCCTCTCGGTGTGCCACAAGCGTCCACGCCGATCCTTCCTGGCCAGCACGAGCTGTACGACCGACCCGGTGCACGTAGGTAGTGATGCTAGCTGGCACATCGTAGTTGACAACATGTGTCAGTGACCGTAGGTCCAGACCACGCGAGGCCCGATCCGTTGCAATAATCACAGATATCTTGCCCCGGCGGTAAGCTGTGAGAGTCTTGCGTGAAGCAGACGACTTGTTCGATTTAATAATCGTGCCAATGCGGTCGGAGAGGGAGGGTTCGAGGAGTGCCAACAGTCGAGCCAGTCGTGATGCGGATTCAGACGATTTAGTGAAGACCAAAACTGTGGTCTGCGATGGCCTTTGTCGGTCCGGCTTCTCGTCTTCTGATTCAGAGTCGCTGTCGGATGACTCTGACTCGTCGCTCGACTCGTCCTCCGAGGTATCCTCGGAGTCTGAAGACGATTCAGAACTGGTATCAGAGTCCGAGTCCGAGTCTGAGTCGGAATCTGAATCATCAGAGCTAGACACGTCCGACGCGTCATCGGAATCTGATCCAGAGCTTGACTCGTCGGAATCCGAATCATCAGAGTCAGAAGTGTCGTGCACAGAAGGCTTGACACTCTTAGTCTCAATCTTGATGTGGGACAGCAGGAGGCGCAGGAGATACAGCGGCTTCTGCGACCCATCTCCAACCGATACGGTATGCTCCTTCAGGGTAGGCGGGAGCGTAAACTGTTCGTCTGAAGGTGCAATGCCACCGCTCTCATCATCCGTTGCGGCGGCATCCGCGCCGATGACAACTAACTTGGGGTTGGCAAGACGTAGAGAGTTAAGCTTCGTCACATCTCTAGTCATGGTGGCACTCAAAACGATTTTCCGTGGCTCCTTGCTCTGGATCGGCAAGCCAAGCCCGGACAGAAAGTTCCCGCTAAAACCGAATGCACCAGGGGCTTTCCTGGCGTCCAGGGAGGTCATCACGACGTCCACCCATTCCTGGAAACTTTCATTCAGTAGTCGATCTGCCTCATCAATGACGAGCCATTCGAGATTCTTCAAGGTGAACCCCTTGGTATAACGAAGATGGTCGACCAGACGACCGGGAGTACAGATCAAGATGTCGACATTAGGTTCTGGCCGGTGAACGTAGCCTGGCAGAGACTCACTTAGATCACCGGCTTCTGAGATGTAGTCCTGCAAATTGAAGTTCGTCCAGTCATCGCCTGTCAGTTGCACGTTTTGACGAAGCTTGAATGTCGCAGGGCCATAGACCTGATCGACGCGCATCAACGACCGCTGCTCGTCTTTGATCGCAACGTTTCCAACTGCAGACGCGACGCGGAGGCCGGATCCAGCGGCACAGAGCTCACAGGCTTCTCTGGCCTGCTTCACCAGCTCCCGAGTAGGCACCACGATGAGTCCTCGTAACCTAGGCGCAGGAAGCGGCTTCAACGCTGTGACCAATGGTAGGACGTAGGACAAAGTTTTTCCTGAACCAGTGGCGGCGGAGATGCAAAGGTCTCCCGGATGGTTCGTTGGTCCTTGCAGCAGGAGAGGCATGACGGTTGACTGCACGGCAAATGCTTCATGGTAGCCATTGTCTTCCAGAACTCGGAGAAGGCTAGAGTCGATTCCCAAATCGGCGAATTTGCGTCGTTCCTGAGCGGATGCACGGAAGGGATTGGCCAGCCATGGCGGCAACGAAGAGTAGGTTGGCATTTCATCCTGCTCAGGCGCTGCTTCTGGTTGTGGTAACGGCTCCAGACCTTGTGCTACGACCGGCTCTGCTGTCGTTAGCTCAGTGGAATCTTCATCCTTCATGCTTTCTTTTGTCTTTTCCAGCTCCCGCGCTTTCTTCGACCTCTCAAACTTGGACAAGATGCCGGCGAATTTGTTCTTCGTAGGTTTGTCGTCGTCACCCTCTGTCGTTGCAGGGTCAGAAGTCTTTCGGCTTTTCTTCGTCCCTTTAGCTTCTTCCTCTTTGGCCTCTTCAATGTCGTCCGCATCCTTCATATTGACATCTTCCTCAGCTGTATCGCTAATTGTTCCGCTTTTCCGTTTTCCATCCTTCGACTTCTTCTTCTTTTTCTTAGTGAGGCTGTCGTCTTGGTTTGAAGTAGTCGTTTGGCCGCCGACCGGCGAGACAGCACTCTCTTTCTGGGGCGATGTCTCTTGAACAGCACTTCGGCTTGCAGCTTCTGAATGCTTTTTCTTCTTCCGGCTTTCCTTGACTGGGGTATCGTTGGATGGAGAACCCTGACTCTTCTTGGATTTCTTCGTCGGGGTGGGAGTGGATATAGCGGTGGCGGAGCCATCGAGATCTCTCTTTCTCTTGTGAGACTTCTTGGCGCTCGACGGAGTTCCTGAGCTTATGCGGGCAGGATCGTGAGATGCGGAGCGATCACCGGCCATGATCGCGGCGGTAGCGCAGGGTCAGCGCGAGGTTGACAAGGGAAAGGGGAATGTAGCACTGGGTCGGTGTTGCCAGAGCAGCTCCGAAGATTAAACATCAATATTTCTTTTCCAGCGGGGAATCGTTTCCCGGCAGAACCTCCCCACCGCCCCCACCGCCGCCCGGGTCTGGACCAATCCGGGCTTCATCGCGTCTCTCCATCGCCGCAGCTTCGATCGACGGCCATCTGCTCATCCCCTGACGCTGGTCTGGTCCTAACATGGATATGCTGGAAACGGCCCTCTCAAGGCCATTTTTGAAAGTGTCATTTGGGTAGCTCAGAGGCTACCGACTGCCATTATGACATACAACATTGCGTGAGTGTCTACTTGCGTTTCGAGCGATCTATCAAGGTTGGCCTACTAATCACCGGTCCACAGTATGGTCAGTGACTTTTTCTTCCCCCAGCCAGGTCAGTTGGTCTCTCATTCTGTTGTTCCTCTGACGATCAGCTACTGATGAGCCCAGGCGGAATTGAAAGTCACATTTATCAGCTATCGACCGTAAGATTACCAGACCTCGTTCGCTCCAGCCAACGCTTATCGCTCTATAGAAGCTTATCGATCGCGGCCATAAAGTCATCATCATAACCCATGCCTACAAGGGACGAACCGGCGTTCGCTACCTCACCAATGGGCTCAAAGTATACCATGTCCCCTTCTTCGTGATCTATCGGGAGTCGACCATGCCGACGGTCTTCTCGTTCTTCCCTATCTTCCGAAATATTGTGATTCGTGAGCAGATTCAGATTGTACATGGCCATGCAAGCTTGAGCAGCTTCTGTCACGAAGCTATTCTTCATGCACGGACAATGGGCCTCCGGACAGTTTTTACCGACCATTCGCTGTTTGGGTTTGCAGATGCGGCGTCAATTCTCACCAACAAGCTGCTCAAGTTCATCTTGAGTGACGTAGACCATGTTATTTGTGTCAGTCATACATGGTACGTCAATCGCATGATTATGCTCAACTTATATTAACTTTAGGGGATAGCAAGGAGAACACGGTCCTTCGAGCCTCGCTAGACCCGTTGATGGTGTCTGTCATTCCCAATGCGGTGGTTGCAGAGAACTTCCGACCCCCAGAGCCACGGCCAATAGCGCGACCCATGGAGCCCAACGATATTATCACGATTGTTGTCATATCCCGTCTTTTCTACAATAAAGGAACCGATCTCCTTATTGCCGCCATTCCCCGGATACTTGCGTCCCATCCGAATGTACGATTCATCATTGCCGGATCAGGGCCCAAGGCGATCGATCTCGAACAGATGCTAGAAAGGAATGTTCTCCAGGACAAGGTTGAAATGCTTGGCTCGGTGCGACACGAAGAGGTTCGTGACGTGATGATCCGGGGACACATCTATCTACATCCGAGTTTGACTGAAGCGTTCGGTACTGTCCTTGTGGAAGCTGCAAGCTGTGGTCTATACGTGGTGTGCACACGCGTTGGTGGCATTCCCGAGGTGCTCCCCCAACACATGACAACTTTTGCGAAACCGGAGGAGGATGATATCGTGCTTGCCACTGGAAAAGCCATCGCCGCATTGCGTTCGAACAAAGTCCGCACGGATCGATTCCACGACCAGGTCAAGATGATGTATTCTTGGACGGACGTAGCCGAACGTACGGAACGTGTCTACAAAGGCATCTCCGGGGACATTAGCCCCGAGGAATTCTACGGCTACTATCCCGGACAGGGATGGGAGGCCGGTCGGGACCGGGTGCGAAGCTTTGCCCTTATTGACCGTTTGAAACGGTACTACGGATGCGGAGTGTGGGCAGGCAAGCTGTTCTGTCTTTGCGTGGTGATCGACTTCTTACTCTATGTTTTCTTGGAGATGTGGTTTCCCCGTGCAAACATTGACATTGCGCGCAGCTGGCCTAAGAAGATAAACCAAAAAGAGAACAAACGGCCAGGGTCTACGTATAAAGGCGACCGTCTGGGGCCTGCATCATAACATGATCCCGACTGCACCTACAATTTCTTCAACACCATGATCAGGCCAAGCTCTTCTCGACTTGCAATTTTGATTCGCTTATGATACAGACACAGCAAGATACCCATACCGATAGACGCAGGAATATTTTGTTCATTAATACATTGCCGTTAAAATACTTCCTTTCTAAGCATGTTCACTTCAAATCCATTTAAGGTCCAGCCTGTGGTGACGCTCAATGCTTATGCGGGTTGTCCCTCTTAGTCGAAGGCTCATACCTCCACTCAGCGGCCGCCGTCTCTGCCGACTCCGGCACGCGATCCTCTGCAGCCAATGCACCCTTATCACCGCGCTGACCAGGGCGCGCCTCATCGCGCTCCAGTCCACGCTGGCTCGGCATCTCTCTCTCAAAGGTAATTCCCCGACTAGCTCCAACTTGTTCCAAGCCCGCACTCTGGCCCTTGCGTCCATGCTGTCCATCATGACGAAGCTCGTTGCTGGTCTGTCCCGAAATAGGCTGGCCCATACCCCGGTGCACGTCCTGCGATGTAGCGCCCATCAAGGTATCGCTAGCGTTGGTCTTGACAGATTCCTTGCCATGGCTGCGCTCGACATTAGGGTTGAGTGCCTGGCCACCAACCTCGCCGATGGGATTAGGCTGGTAGGAGCTGCTGGCGGGCGCGGTACCGGGGGGATGGCTCTCAGCGCGAAATTCGGGGACGAAGTCGCTAGGAGCGACCTTTCTTCCTACTTGGTGCTGTTATTTGTCAATACAACTTGCGTCATCGGACACCATTCAAATGAAATACATACACCGCCATGCTCAAGAGGACCCGTAGGTTTCACCGAAGGGTGAAATTCACCCTGCTTGTTCGTAGCGACGGAGTCGGGGTTGTTGAAGTGGCTCATGATGGAAGGATGTGTGCGGAAATTATTGTTTGGTGAAAATCAGGATAATATTGTCAAGTAAACACTCTTACAATTGATGCTGAACAGAAAATGAAGCAGACAGTAACCGAACAGCTATATATACAAGCTGAACCGTCTGGGATGGTAGTTTAGGGCTTCACGGGAATGACGTCAAGGTGACCGGCGTTGACTTCATGGCTTGCATGCTTTTCCATCACTTCACTTTCATCGAACCACTGCTTTGACTGGGATAAACGTCATGCACTGGCATCGAGAATGTTCAGTGCGTCCAATCAGTCCGGTTTTCGGTCGCGTGCTTCCATGGATGTGGTGTAACTCTGCAGTATCTGGTACGGGATGATTAGGGATGTCTCCGTCAGATGCCGATGCATGGAATTGGCAATTTGTTTTGATCTAGGCCATGAAGATGATAATTATGATGTAGTAGGTGTTTACAGTGTTTTGTGGTGTATTGTGCTGTGGTCATTGCTGGATGTAGATATGGCTGTCTACATGGTTGAGGTACAACATGCGCTAGGTATGACAGTTACAGCGAAAGCCAATTGAACAAGAACCAAGTTGATGAAAAACAAATGCAATTAAGGTATCTTCCCGATCACATAACCTCTTAACGCCAAACTCAAGCCCGAATAACACGATATAAGAACAAGAAAAGAATCGGAATTCTTCGCAACAGACCATCCCATCCCCAAGTCTATCACTTCATTAACGGTGGACGTCCCTCTTTATTCCACTTGACTCGCGTCTGCACCCATTCCACCGCTTCTTGCACGCCTGACCCCATCAACGCGCTGACCGGTAACACACGACTATCCCTCACCCCGGCCCCAGACTCTCCCTCAAAGACCTTGCGCACAAACCCCTCCTTGATACGAACAACCTCCACCGAGTCCTCCCGATCTTGCTTGTTGGCGAGAACGAGAATCGGTACACCCGCCACATCCGCATGCTGTAGAACCGATTCCAGTACTTGCCGGCACTCGTCGAGCCGACCGAAATCGCTCCCGGGCGCATTGATCCCGACCATTTCCTCCGTAAATGCGCCTGAGTGGCCTCCTGACGGACCGGACGCAGAGCTAGGTCGTCGACTCGGAAGCCGGGTGATGTCTGGGTCTTGACCGACGTCGGCACTGTCGACGACGAAGATAATGGCATGGCAGCTGGTGTAGTAGCTTTGCCAGAGGTTCCGCATGGATATTTGTCCCCCCACATCCCAGATCTTCAGATACATGTCCGGTAAGGAGATGGTCGCGACGTTTTGGCCGACGGTGGGCACGGTTTTGCCGGGGTTAGGGGCGGGGGCGCCATCTGGTCGGGGTTGATAGAGGGCTTTGATTTGCGACAGGAGGGTAGTTTTTCCGGCGTTATCGAGGCCAAGGAGGAGTACGGAGTATTCTATTACCGTGATATTAGCGCGCGAGGATGGGATTATGACAAAGACATCGACTCACCCTCCTTGCTAGTAGCGTACATATACAGGGACTTGGCCAGATGATACATGATTGCGGAGAGGGACGGTCTGCGGAGACTAGACCAGATAACCTCCGGCGGAGGCAGCCTCGGAATTCCAATTAGAACCGGCGGGACGACAGCTCAGGTAACAGAATCATGGCAGCAGCAGAAGGCTGGATTCTTGTAATATTCCACCTGCTGCTTGATTTGTCTCTTGCGCTTCGATACATACGGAGGACGCTGGGCCAGCGCCGATGGCGATAGATTGATTGCCTGGGGGTTCCACGCGTCAGCCGTGTCTCGAACAGGAAGGTAGGGTATAGGGTAGATACGATGCAGACCCCGAGCCCTACCTTCCGGAATAGGAAGACCCCGCAACGTCAAAGTCATGCATTGTCGATCTCTTGATTTATTGGGAATATTATTCATTATCCGGGAATGCCGTTATCGCTCCGGAATGTTGCTCTTCCTTTCAATGAAAGTGTCTCGGAACCCAGATTGACGGGGTCCATTCACCACGGCCTGCCGGGTCAATCGTGGCAGCCAAACTTCTCACCTTCTCGACCCCGGATGCGCCGGTGGCACGGAGCAACGGTCATCATTGGAGGCTGGCAAGCAATCGCCCCCCCACGTCCCTTGGCTGGATCCATTCCTACTGGAATAAGTAAGGATTACATAGTCGAGTTGAGGGTCTTGCATTTGTCAGTTTGTCAGCGTTCCCCAGGCCTGCCTTGTCCGCTCGCGGAATCGGCATCCCCTCTCCCCCTTCCTCTGCCTATGGTTTCCCTACAAGCTTAATCTTTTCCTCCTTCTTGTCAATGTAACGGCCACTCGATGGCCCTCCGGTTCTCTCCCTTAAGCTGGAGGTAGTGGCTCTACTGTAGATATTTGATACTCTGTGTGGTTGGGACTTATCAGAGGAACCCTGCTATCGCATGTCGCAAACAGCATGCCCCACGATGGTTGGGCGGGCGAAGGCGCAAGAGATGCCTTCATTGGAGACTGATACCATTATCGTCGGTATGTCGCCATTTCGTGCCAACGGAGATGCTGGGATTTTATTTGATTTCTCCCCCTGGTCCGTGTTATCGTGCTGATGTGATCCCCCACAGGGAACGGGCCGTCGGCCATGATTCTGTCGTATATTCTTCATGGCCATCTTCCATTTTATTTCTCCAATCCTCCTCATCCTGACCCGCTTCTGCATGCGAAGCTCCAGGATTCCCCGGAATTGCTCCATGTGGATGTGCACGCTTTGACGGATCATTTCGCCGCCTCGAGACTGTCGTACTCCACGCAGGCTCTCCCTGTGAACGTGCTCCTGGACACGCTGGTGCGTCCCAGCGTGGATGTAGAAGAGCTTGAGGCCATTACGAATGTCGAATGGCGGTTCGTGCCCGAAAAGGCCGTTCCTCATTTGGTATTCGGGAATGCTCAGCATGCAGGGGGTCAGTGGACTGATAATCCCGTGCCTGCCAGCTGGGACATCCAGACCCTCAGCTATGCGTCAATGCTGTCTCTCCCGGGCTATTCGTTCGCTGAGCACCACCGGAAGATCACGGGCAAGGAGCTTCCGGCATATACCCGACCCAGTCGGGAAGAAACAGCAAGCTACTTCCGCACGTACCCCGAGGCGGTTCAGATCGATGATGTGTTCCGGTTCAATGAGACCATCTCCGGCATATCACGAACAGATGATGGGTTTTACATTCGCTCTCACAACATCCACTGCAAGCACTTGGTCCTGGCTAGTGGTATATTCACCCAAGTGCTGCAGCCCAGCCCAATGCTGCAGCCTTTGACCTCGCTCCAGCCCACTCCGCAGACTCCGCTACTTGTGATCGGCTCTGGATTCTCTGCCGCGGATATCATCATCTCTGCGCCGGCGGATCAGAAGATCATCCATGTGTTCAAGTGGGATCCGGAAGGGCGGTCATCACCGCTGCGTGGCTGCCACCACCAAGCATATCCTGAATACGCCGGAGTCTATCGACTGATGAAACGAGCTGCGGTTGCAGCAGACCCCACGAAGAAACGAGTGAAGCCGCGGCGCACCACCTCGATCCCTTTCTTGGAAACTCGCTCATGGGAAGATATATACGAAGGATTGCCTAACTCGGAAGTTGTGGACGTCGAGATGCAAGAGGATCAAGCCCTCGTCACATTCCGCCAGCCTGACGGGAGCACCGTCACCCGCGCCGTCCGCGGGATGGTCTACGCTACTGGCCGACGTGGCACCCTCGATTACCTCGACAGTCCGCTTCTCGATGAAGTACTCGACCATGATGCGACCACAGAAACGAGCCCCGTCATCTCCGCCCGGTCCTTGCGCAGCAAAGTGTATGACGATATTGAGATTGCGCCAGACGTTTTCATCATCGGCAGCCTCACAGGCGATTCTCTCATCCGGTTTGCGTACGGCAGCTGCGTCCAAGCCGCTGGGAAGTTGGTTGACGCACGTACGGGCAAAGAGCGAGTCCGCAGTGGATCGAACAATACCTCTCGGCCCCAGTCATCATTGGGCGTCATGCGTGGCATAGATGGACACGACATCTCACCGCCTAGCGAGTTTCGTGCTGTGGATAACGACCGCATGGCGTCGACTTGGCCGCAGAGGGTTATGCCAAATGGGTTGTGGAGATGGCTTTGGAGATGGTTTGACGTGAGGTAGGAATGATGATGATGCATGATAGACGATAGATGTGATGAATGATTGTACATAGCGTGCCATTGGCTTTGTTTATAAAGGGAGGATATATTGTTACTCATGTATAGCTGCTGAACTGTTCTAGTGATCTGCATATATTCTGACTGGAGAGGGCTTGTCATTACTTGCAATAAAAGAAGTCTTTTAGATGAGTACACCCACGATTGTACAACCCTGGCCACCACCTCAACTCATACTCAATCCCACATATATGTAAGCCGATAGACAGGCACTATTTTAACAAACTTCCGCGACAGAACTCTAGTACCAACCGAGAACTATATACTACTGCACCTAACCCATTTACCAACCCTCCCAGAGCAACCATAACATCCACTCCACCTCCCGACATCCCCAACCCTTCCCTCAAAATCACCTAACCAAGAATGCTCCAGCGCCTCCCTCGCCGTAACCCTCCCCCTCGGATCAAGATAAGTCATCCTAGCCACCAAATCCCTCAACTCCGGCTCCAGAAACCCCCAACACTCAACCGGCTGTCTCGGATTCTCCGGTCCGAACGTATTGATTAGCTCCAAATTGCGATCAAAGAATGGATTTGGCTTCCCTATATGCTCAAGAAAGCGCTCCATGCCATCCAAGTCGGCAAAGTACGATAGATGAAGACGAAGAATATACCTCCATGCGTCAGCAGCATTCAACTGCTCATCAGGAACACGAAGGACCATTTCATTTGCCATCACATAAACCACCTGAGCAAGATGTTAGCAAATGGGAGCCCGCTCACAATCAATGGATAGAGACGAGATGAGCCGAGCATACCACAAGGGCAAAAGAAAACACATCAGACGCTTGATTCTGACGAGATCGCGCCCAGCTCTCTGCGCTGCGCCAGATGACGTTGCCGCAGAGGGGTCCGCGCAGTTTCCTTGGTGGGACGATGACTGTGTTTTCCAAATCGGAGATCTGGACTGACTTTATTGATGGCTGTTTGTTATTATCGGCTGTGGAGGGGTCTGTGTAGTCGATGAGGATGTTGTTTGGTTTTATGTCTTCTGGGTTGTTAGTATAACGTATCAGTCAACATTAACCGATTAGATCTACCATTATGCACCATGTTCCTCTCATGCATCTCAGCTAATCCACTTAATGCATCGCGGAGAATCCTCTTCCTCGTTTCGTGGGATAATTTCTTCTAACGTGCAGCAAATCCCCGCTTAGAAAGGGGTAGATGAATACCTCTGTGTCGCGGACAGAATTAACGAATGTCCGGATTTTCGGACAGGATGATAGTTGGTTCTGGATGTTGAGCTGGTGTTGGAAGTCGCCTGGGATGTTGTTTTTTATGATATATTGCTTGTTGTTGGTGGTGGTGCTGTGGTTGGGTAAGTGGGTTGGTCTAGGGTTAGTGGTATGGTATGAGAGGGGTGTATGTACCTCGCTCGGTAGACGTGTAATCCGGATTTACCGCCGTGAGTGAGTAGTTCTTCGATTCGGTAGGTCTGGTTGGAGTCGCATGTTATGGTTGTGCCGGGTGGGAGTGGTGTTTGACGGGATTTGGTGAGGGTGGATATGCATTTCCTGTTGAACAGGACGAGGTGTTGTTGGGGGCATGGTTTACGGGTACGGGAGAATGGCAGGTTTGGTAGGAGATAGGAGTGAATGGGGGTTTTACATCGCATCTTGCTAGTGTTTACAGGGTTGTCTTTGTTTACAATGTAGTGCTATCTGGGCTGTTGTCTGCTGCATCTCGGCGGCTCCTGAGTCAGCTGGGATCGCCCTTGGCAGATTAGACATACCTTAAGGCTCTTGGTGGATGTAGATCAGCCGAATGATGCAGGTTAAGCGCTGGCTAAATGTGATATACATGAGTAAAGTGTATGGATTGATTGTTTTTGCTCGAGAGCTTCGCTAGTCTTTACTGATTATGTAGAGATAAGTGTTGAAAAGCACACACGTCTTATGGGTATAGATACATATCAACATCAGGCTAGCCCATGATCTGCAACTGATCATCCGGAGGCCACCGCGTCTGCGCAAAGCTGAGGCATCGCTTGATGCTCTGCAAGTACTTGCGCGTAATCTCATCACTCAAAATATGCGCCTGCTGATCGCTCTGATGCAGCTTCTCTCGTGCGGATCGCTCGTGAATACCAACCATGGTAACACCAATAGGCCAAGCACTGCAAAAGATTAGCCAGGAACGAAACGTGGAAACAGAAAGGAGATACGTACGCTTTTCCAATACTCAACCGCAGATAAGCATCATTAGCATCGACATATCGCCGCTGCTGTGCCTTGGACACAATCTCGACCACATGCTCAAGCACTCCATCATCAATATCCACCTTCTCAAACTTGCGAAACAACGGCTTCATATTCTCCCGCGACTGCACCATAGCATTGTACGCCTGCTTTCCCTGCAAGCTCAACTTGACCGACGCATCTCGCTTCGCCAACGCCAACTCCCACTCCCGCAGCACCATATTAAAGTATGACGCCAGCTGACGAAACAGGAACTTCTTCCCCTCCAGATCCTTCGGCGCCGTCTCCGGAATCTTCATATCCACCTCCGGCACCAGCTCCAACGTCGTCGGAATCGGCCCATCTGACAGCTGCGGCTGCGGCGTCAACGACCGCTGCAACAGCCTCCTATACCGTCTCAGGCGGCCCTTGTGCGTCTCCCCAAACAATATCGCCGGCTCTTCCATCTCCCGCAACTTGTTCAACAGCTCCTCCTCCGGTATATCCTCCTCGCCACCTTCCTTGCCCTCACCCTCTTTATCATCTCCAGACTCCGTAGGCGGCAGCTCCGGCAAGCCGAGTCTCTTCCTGCGCTCTCGTTCCCGAGCAGCTTCTTCCTCTTCGCGCTTCTTGCGCGACTCCTCGGCCAGTTTGCGTTTCTTCTCTTCCCGTTCGCGACGACGCTCGGCTTCTTCGTCTTCGAGCTTGCGTTTCAGGGCATTGCGCTCTTCGCGTTCGCGGGCGAGGCGTTCTTGTTCTTCATTGTAGGCGGCGATGCGGGCGGCTTCGAGGTCGCCGCGCCGGGTGTATTTGGGTTTGGAGGTGTCTGATGAGTCTGCTTTGGGTTTTGCTTTGGAGATTTCTTTGGACATTAACGATGCGAAGTCCATGTTGGCGTTGTAGTGTGAGGCCAGTGAAGATGTAGTGCTGGTTGTGGCGATTAGATAGATAGAGTTGGGTGAATCGGAGGTAAAGAGACACCCGTGTTCGGCAAACTTGCCGCGGCGGAACTTCCGCCGTCCAGATCCAGCAGAAACACCCGCGCCTGGATAGCTTGTTTGCTGCAAGCTTCATCCTCCACCTTCGTTCATTCTCTCTTTCAATGCAATAACCACCATCCTATACTACACACTACAATCGCACACTATATCTTTTGGAACCGACTACACCAACAAGTGTCTACCAAACTGAACAGAAAATAAAGAAGAGCAGCAAAATGACACCACCTCCAATCGACCGCCAAACCACAACCCCCTTCCACCTCAAGCTCTTCTACCGACTCAACAACTACCACCATCTCTCCGACTTCTCCTCCACAGCTTCATCCTCGTCCTACAGCGGTCCGACAAGCGGCCCCAACGCCATCCGCACGCGCAGTCCCCCACCACCACAACAACTCCCTCCCCACCTCCAAATCTACACCTGGCAATCATGCACTCTCCGCGAACTCTCCCACCTCCTGACCTCCGCGCTACCTAGTCTGCTTCCTGACCCGCCGGTCGGTACGCGCCTCTGCTTCCGCCTCATATACCCGGACACCAAAGGCGCCGCGACAATGGGACCCGACGCGCGGGGCAGATATCTCGCGAAGGATTTGGGGAGTGTGATTATCGGTCCGAGGGAGAGTGCGATTGCGAATGGTGGGGATGAGGATGAGAATGCGGATGGGGAGGAAGGGGGCCAGAGGAAGGGCAGTGGTGCTGGAGTAGGAGGGAGGTTGAGGATTCAAGGAAATGATGCGGACAAGACGTTGCAGGAGGCAAGGTTCGTTATTGGAGACTATGTCGATTGTGCGGTACTGCCGCCGCTGGAGGATGGGTCTGTGGCGCCGCCGGTTAATCCCGGTCGGGGGATGGCGATGGGTGGGGGGATGAGGGCGTTCCCTGGCGATGCTGGTCGGGGGGAGAGGTATCGTGGAGGCGGTGGTAGTGGTGGGATGAGAGGGGGGAGAATTCCACCGGGGGATTGGAGACGGGGGGAGAGAGTTCCGGAGGAGAGGGGTGGTGGTGGTGGAGGTGGAGGGAGAGGAGGGAGAAGGGGGTGGGCGCCGTACTAAATACCTGCTTGAATGATCGATTTTGATGCTGTATGTGTTTGTATGAGTATTAGGAGTTGAGGATACCAGGTTCGCTACAGGGATGTCTAGTCTACTATCTATCAGTAATATGTCTGTCTGTATTATTGACTGTGCTGTGCCCATCAGCAACGCAAAGAACCTGCTGTAGTAAACGAAATCTTCAATAACGGTATAATAGTAGTAGTAGATACACATCCAGCCCGACCCATCACATCACGCTTTTCTCCCACCCAACCACACTTGAGAGGATCGAATCGATCTACCACTCGACAATCGTATCGCCCCTGCGCTTTCCACGCAGCTGGTACAGACCCTACACACAGCCATTAGCATTCACACCCACCAAATCCCAATGTAACCCAGATCACTCACATCAGTCTTATAAGCGACATAGCCCAATGCACCAGGAATCAGCGCCATGTAGAGGAACGAGAACCAGGCATGGCGCGGCGTCCACCGGAAGTACTTGTAGCGGTTGGCGTTGAGTTCTACATAACCCAATTGTCAGTTATCATCCATCCAAGATTATTCCTCCCAATACCCTCTCCGAGAGGTAATTGTTGTTTCTGAAGGGAGGGGAGTAATGTAATGCGTCAAGTCTTATTGGCGGGAACAAACGGACCGTAGTATTTCTGGAGGGCCGGATCAAGGATCAAAGCTGGAGAGAGCGGTTAGCAATTGGAATTGAGGAGAATCAGAGGTGAATGACATACACTTGCTGGGACCGGCCATGGTTGCGGTTTGGGGAGCGCTGGTTTATTGCTGGCGAGCTGGGGGTATATGCGTATTGGGTGTGGTGGTGATCATGTTGAGGTTGTGTCATGTGATAAGCAGCATAATTAGTAAGGTGTATAATATCGTTGTGCTATGTAGTTATGCAGGTATGCAGGTAAGTGGATATCAGGATGTTATTATGATCACTATATCATTACTGATGATTATTTTAGATACAATCTACATAGTTAGCAACTATCACATACACATATACACTACTTCTCTACACTACACAACGTTGAACAGTAGAATCCCTCGTCCTCTGGTATCTACAGTATGATCGCAAAAATGGGCGCCCCACTCATGGCGTCAGTCTTCACGAGAACATCCGAGGTTCGCTCGCGCATGATAAGTTCTAATTAATGTGTGATGAGCACTCAATCACATTCATCCCTAAGCTTGTCACATATAAGATAACGTACACACCATTCTCCTATTCACCACACCACCACCACTTATCCAATCCAGTACTATTTGATCAATACCACCAAAATGACCGACCCCAACAAAGGCACCAAAATCACCCTCTACTGGTACATACCCTCCCCCCATCTCCTTCTACCCCCTGCACCCACCCCAACACTAACAATAAAATACCATGAATCTAGGCTCTCCCAATCCCGCTCCCACCGCATCCTCTGGCTCCTCGAAGCCCTGCACCTAACCTACGAGCTAAAGATCTACCACCGCGGTCCCGACAAGCTCGCACCCGCGGAACTAAAAGAGATCCATCCCCTCGGAAAGTCCCCTCTATTGACCATCCAACCCGCGAACGCCCCTCCAGACCAGAAGCCCATCGTGCTCGCCGAGTCCGGCATTATCATCGAGTACCTGCTCGATCACTTCGGCGACAACGCAGCAGCAGAGAAACCTCTCCTCCCTGCTCGATGGAAACCCAACCAGGAGGGTGTAGTCGGCGGTGAAACCGAGGAATGGATGCGCTATCGCTACTTCATGCACTATGCTGAAGGAAGTCTCATGCCGTTTTTGGTGATGCAGTTGGTTATGGATAGTAAGCATTACTTACCCCTGTTCCCTATGAGATATGGGATATGTCCTGCGGACAAGGAAGGAAGGATGTTAATGCTAATGGTGATGGTAACAGCGGTAAAAAACCCCCCCGGCATGCCCTTCTTCGTCAAGCCGCTTCCGCGCCTTGTCGCGGGCCAGGTTGAAAAGGCCTTCCTGGCGAGGAATATCCAATCCCATTTGGAGTTCTTAGAGGATCAGTTGCGGAGTAGTCCTAATGGGGGAGCCTATCTGTGCGGCACGGAGTTGACGGCCGCGGATATTATGATGAGTTTTCCCGTAATTGCTATGTCCGGGAGGTTGGCGGATCAGTTGGATAAGTTTCCGCTGTTGGGGAAGTATGCGGAGAGGTTGCAGAAGGAGGAGGGGTATATTAGGGCTGTGAAGAAGGTGGAGGAGGTGGATGGGAAGTTTGAGGCTTCTCTGTAATCTTTCTATCTCATTAATGTGTGTGTTTGAGTTTGATGTGATTGGGATTGGGGTATGGTATATATGGTAGTATTACGTAGTAATTAATTTGCAATCTATCTATCAATTAAATTAACTGGTATGATTACATCCGCCCAATAGCCTTACTCTCCACCCCCAACTTCTGCAACTCCGCCCCATCTAAACATCCCCGTCCATCATACACCCACTTCGGATCCTTCAAGTTGTACGCAATGCGCGCCCACTCCAACGGCTCATTCACCACAGCCACAGACCGCGGTGCCCAGCTCCGACATGCCGCGCAATCACTCCCACACCCTTCCTCCGGCGTCAATCGATAAGTAGCCCCGTTAAACGTCCACTCCTCATCCCTGCGCGCCGGCGAAAGCATCTCATCCAGACTCTCAAACACCTCCGAGTCCGAGCGAGCAGCACTGCGCTTCCGCCCATTCTTGAACTGCTCGCAGTCCGTCATGACCAAAACCGCATTAGCCTGCGAACAGGCCAAATACGGATCCGACAGGACCTTCACCCTAGCAGCCACATCCTCCTTCCCACAGGCCGCTTCCAGCTCACGCAGAATATCCTCCTCATGACAGAACAAATCAAAGATATCAATCTCCGCCGGCCTCTCCTCAAGCAACAGTCTGATAACATCCACAACCGGCGACTCGCGCGTATCCCCAGTGTCTTTCTTAAACGCGAACCCCAGCACGGCGATCTTCCTCCCGGATAGATTCCCATCGAAGCGGTCGATGACTCTCCGTGCGAACCGCACACGCTGGTACTCGTTCATAGCGTTGACTTGGCGCCAGTAGTGCGCGACTTCGTCTAACCCCACTGATTCAGCGAGATATGTCAAACTGGCGATGTCTTTGCGGAAGCAGGACCCGCCGAATCCGACGCCGGCTTTGAGGAACTGTGGTCCGATGCGCGCGTCCATGCCAATGGCACGCGCCACTTGGTCGACGTCTGCGCCGGTCTTTTCGCAGATCGCGCTGATGGAGTTGATGCTGCTGATGCGCTGGGCCAGCATGGCGTTGGCGACGAGTTTGGCGAGTTCCGATGACCAGGCGTTTACTTGGAGGATGCGCGTCGGAGGGACCCAGGAGTAGAGGTGGGCGAGCATGCGGGCAGCGCGCCGACCTTGGGCAGTTCCTGAGGAGCCGATCAGGACGCGGTCCGGGTGGACGAGGTTGTCGATGGCGGAGCCTTCGGAGAGGAATTCGGGGTTGGAGAGGACTTCGAAGGGGGTGTTGGGGCGGAGGGTGGTGAGCTGGTCCGTCAACATTACTCTTTTGTTATATAAGAGGTGAGGATGAGGCTTACTGTTTGTCGCACTCGTTCGGCCGTTCCACACGGCACGGTGCTCTTCTCGACGATGATGGCTCCTGGCTTTGCGTAGCGTGCTATCTCCTGCACGGCGCCGTCGACGGCTGTCATGTCGGTGGCTCTACCGGCGCCGAGACCGAAGGTCTTGGTGGGTGTGTTGACGGCCAGGAAGATCATGTCTGCGTCTGCGATAGTCATCGAGTCGCATGTGAAGAACAGGTTGGGCTGTCGACGCGAGTACTCTGAGCATTCGGTACCAACACTCTGAGCCACGTCCGAGCCATCGCGCGTTGCGCGCACCACATTGTATAGGGTGGGTTCATGTACGGGGAGATGCGCCGACTTCCAGCTCTGAATGCGACGAGGATCCCGGTCCAGCACTGTCACTGCGACGGAGGGATTGTATAGCGCGAGAACAGCCGCGGTTGGTCCGCCTGTAGGGCTGGCTTAGTTTGGCTCGTAGATAAGGGCAGTAGTGCCAGAAGCCTACCCACGTATCCTGCACCCACAACGCAGACGCTCTTTACGCGATCGTCGGACACAATACGCGCTGAATTGGCGTTCGCAGCGTCGTTGTGGGCTCCCTGGATGTCTGTGATTCCCGCAGGCGAGGTGGAATGCGACGAGACATCGTCCACCTTTGCGGCGCGAAACAGCGGACTAGATGCCGGGGTAGTGGGACAGGTTGAACTGTCATCTAGACTCCATTCGAGAGAGCTTCGTGGTGAAGAAGCGAGATCCATTGTGCTGCTTCTGCTGCTGCTGCTGCTGCTGTAGTGTTTCTTGTGTAACCGTCGGCGACAGACCTCACTCACCAGTCAGTCCAGGAACTGACGAGACGATTGAGGGGCAAGACAACAAGACAAGACAAGGGAGACGGGACCACAAGCAGTATAAGCATCAGCCCAGACACCCAGAGGCAAGAGATCGTCGGGCGACCGAGGAGATAAGGTCTTGCGCGGAGGGCGCATGGCCGTGGCAGCGGAACGTGAGCAGCGGAGCATGAAGGCAAAAGAGGGAGTCAATGCCACAGAGCTGCATGGGTTGATGCACGCGGGGGGCAGTACGGACTGCCACTGGATCAACCATACGGGGGGATGCAGGAGGCATTGAAGGCATGAAATTTGGCTGGTGATCCGCCCGAACGAGCGATTCTCTCCAGCCAGCCCACGTGCCCGCATCCAGCCCGGAGACACGAACGATTCTTGTGCATCACCTGCAGTGATTCTCAGTGTAGGGGGTGATGATCTGTGGGTGTTAGGTTTGTCCTCCTGGGTCTGGTTGCTCTGCACACCGTATTGTCTATTCTTGTAGAACATAAGTACGTGCGTGCACTCCTGGTAGTCGTAGACTGTGTCTAGATATACAGTCCACCAATCAGATACTGGTTGAATAGTATCAACATCATCAACATGCCCTCATTTCCTCCCCCCTCCGAAGACTTCCCCAGCATCCTCAAAGGCAAACGCATCCTCCTCACCACCGAATCTCTAGGTCCAGTCAACGGCGTCAGTCGCACAACCGGCAAATTGATCGAGTATCTGCGTCGCAATGGCGTCGAACTGGCTGTCGTGGCACCACAGTTCACCTCACCACCACCATCACCATCATCCTCACCCTCACAACGTCATCAAACCCACAAAGAAGAAACAACAACAACAATCCGCCTCCCCGGCTACCCCCTCCCCTACAACCCCGACCTCACCCTCGTCTACCCCTTCCATCTCACCACCACAATCTACCCCCAAACCTTCACCCCAGACCTAATCTACATCGCCAGCCCAGCCAGTCTAGGCTTCCAACTCCTCCTCCAACTCCGCCAACTCCACTCCCCTCCACCAACACTCCTAAACTACCAAACAGACCTCTCCTCCTACAGCTCCATCATCTTCCCTAGACCCCTCTCCACCTTCGCCGTCTGGCTCCTCTCCCTCGTAGAGGGATATCTCTTCCGCACGCCCTGCATCCACACGATCTTCTACCCGTGCAGCGACGTCCTAACCTACTTACGATCCACCAATACTCCCATCCACAAAACCCACCGGTTAGGACGGGGAGTCGACACATCCCTTTTTAACCCGTCCCGTCGATCCCAGTCCCTACGGGATACGTTAGCTCCAAACGGCGAAGCCATCCTCCTAACAGTTTGTCGGATCGCGCCAGAAAAGGGTTTCGAGTTCCTCGCTGAAGCCATTACCCATCTTCTTTCCAGTACGAAAATCCCCTTTAAGATGGTGATAGTCGGTGGGAACGCCAATCCAGCTGTGACGGCACGCATCCAATCCCTCTTTCACCACGTCTCTTCACATGTTATCTTCCTGGGATTCAAGACTGGGGTGGAGTTAGCGAGGGTCTATGCTTCCGCGGATATATTCCTGCATTGCTCTGTTACGGAGACATTTGGGCTGGTTGTGCTGGAGGCTATGGCGAGTGGGGTGCCTGTCATCGCGAGGGATCAGGGGGGACCGTCGGATATCGTGAGGAATCAGGAAACGGGGTATTTGGTTCCGGTGGCGGAGGGGGAAGTGGGCGTGTTCAGTGGGCTTGTGGGGGAGGTGTTGCGGGATGGGAGGTTGAGGGGGCGGTTGGGGAGAGGGGCGAGGGTGTTTGCGGAGGATATGACTTGGGAGAGGATTAATCGGAGGGTGGTGGGGAGAATGGTGGATGCTTTGGAAGCCACTGGGGGAAGGGACGAGGAGAGGGCGTTGTTAGGGGGCAATAGAGGGAAGGTGTCGTTTTGGGAGAGGGTCAAGTTGGGAGTTGCAGTTGCGGTGGTGTATGTGATGTGGATGGTAGCTGTTGTGCCGTTGATTGTGCATGGGTCAAGGATTGTGCCCAGGGTGCTGGGGAGGGTGCCGCTTTTGGGGAGGTCGGTTGGTCGGGATTCTTCTGCTGCTTAGTAGGGAGATTGTGTGTGTATGTGTATGCAATAGATTATGTATTACATCTTCTTTTAGAGTATGTGAGTCTGTATATACAACCCTACCTCCTCTTCCAGTGTCGGGATGCCTTCCAGAAGCAGCTAGGGTATAGCACAAAATGTAAGAGCGGAAAGAAGCAATCAAGCAAACTTCCGCTTAATTTCCTCCTCACTGAAGCGACGCGTCTTGCGACGCAGCATCGCCGCAAGCTCTGCATGCGTCATGCCGATCTGGTCGCCCATCGGCACTAGACACCGCGCCAAGTGGTCGTAGTCCTTGCGCATCAGTCGCACCGTGATCATGATGTAGTCGATGTTGCGGAACACGAGGGCATGCTCGGAGGCATACCGGTCCTTTTGCCGCAGAAAGGCGAGGGGATGGTCGCGCCAGTGGCGGCGCGGGTTCAGGTGGTGCGAGGTGTGGTAGCCATCATTGTAGCAGAAGCGGTTGCTCTATTCATAATGAGTATGTGGTCAGAATTGGAAAATAATTGGACCATACCGCTACGTCAATCAAGGTGATACTGGAGCGAAAGTCACTGTTGGGATCCGTCTCGTCGACAAACGCATGCTGTCCCCAGTTCCCCACCATGAGACCCACACGCAGCTGCAGGAACGGAAGAACAAAGACAAACAATGTCGCTCTCCAGCTGACATAGTTCCAGAGCAGATACATCATCAAGTAGCTGCTGAGTTCCCAAAAGGCTGCTTTCAACCCCAAAAGGGTCTTTCCTTTGCGCAGGAAGTAGGTGGGCAGCTCCAGCCAGATGAAGAGGTAGAAGCGGCCGACGTAGCAGGCGAAATCAGCCAGACTGTCGCGCTGGTAACGGATCGTTGAAGACAGATCATCCGGGCCGTTGCCTTCGACGTGGTGATGCTTGACGTGATGGTAGAAGTAGGAGTTCCAGGTGTGGCCCATGAGCGGGTCCGTGATGTAGGGAAAGATCATGTCGAATAGCCACCAATTGCGCTTTTTCAGGATACCACCCATGTGGATGTGCTGGTGCATCATCAGGGTATAGGTACCCACGTAGTAAGACTGCATGATCCAGTGCAGCACGCCATGGAGCCAGTGGAAGTTACGGAAGAGATAGATGGCACTGGGCACAGAGGTGGTAAAGTACAGCAAGAGATGGGTGAGCATGACCACGTCGGTGTCCACCCGGACGATGGACCGCGCGGCCCTGATGTACGGTTGCAGCAGCCATGCATCTAGCAGCGGAGGCAGCTTGATGTCCTTCAAATCCCAGGTGAAGAAGATGGTCGGGACAAAGTCGGCATGCCGGGGGTCATTAAAGGCCTCCAGTTGGCTGACGGTCGCGTCGGCATCTGATGGGACATCGGGGGTCCCGCCGGCTTTAGTGGCAGGAGAAAGTTAGCATGAAACCCGGAAGAGCAGTGGCAAGGAAGTTAGTTGACGGCGGGTGAGAATGTACATGATTTGGGCTTTTCCGGGGTGGATTGGCTATCGAGCAGCAGGTTATCGAGGACCAGTCGATCGGGCGGGGTCAGATAGGGATCGATAAAGGTGGAAGGGTCCATGGCCAGCAGAACAGGAATAATCTCCTGAAATTGGCGGGAAGCAAGGCACGTTTGGACAGTAAAGCAAAGGGAGGTATTGGCCCAGAAAATTCCTGTTGGAGTGACAATCGAACAAGCTTTAACGGACCGCCGAAGAAGAAAAAAGGGGGTGGGGCTGACAGCATCGGATGAGCTGAGACGATGGTCAGTAAGTATCTATCTGCCTGGCATATTATCCGATCTATCCCCGTGCTTCTAAAATCCGATCAGACCATCCATACATACCCCGGCTTGCTCTTAACTTAGCGTGTTGCTAATGGAGGCCTTAAAATCAGTGGTGGTGGTGATGTGTCTGCCAGCTAGCTGTGCCTGGGGACAGCAACCATGGGTGGAGATGGTGGGTCGAGAGTATCCATGACGAGCACATTTCATCCAGGGCAATTCCATCAATTCCTCTCGTGATCAGGTCATGATGTCGTCTTCTTCCGCCCGTGGGGTGTGACGGAAGATGTACAATTTCTCGCATCCAGTTGAGATCTCCAGGGTCTGAAGTCAGATTTGTGACATTCCGATGGGGGCAGGAGATGTCCACTTGGTTGGCGGGGGCGGAGTCACTTTTCCGAGAACAGCAAGTGGCAGATGTTCTTCCAGTTAGCTCCAGTTAGCCTCCCCGCGTCGATCCATTGGGGTCAAGCCAATATATATCCCAATGCTGCGATTGAGTCGTGTAACCCAGTAGATAGACGTCTTAAATGGCAGGAGAGCTGAATGTAAATGTCAACCCTTGAAGCTCCATACCCGTCACAGAGATAGATACGCTAGTGCCCTATCTATAATTAGCAACAGCATCAATATTCCGGACAACTCACAAACAGTTGTTGTCGTTGAATCTTGAGCATAGAGGCATTGCTCATAACTAGTATGCATTTGCATGATATGTTATAGCCAGATAGGGAGCCCATATAAGCTTCATTCCCGGATACATGAAGAGGGACGTACCAGCTGCGGGCTGCCACTACGTACCAATCGAGCCGGTCGGCATCACCAAATGCGCTCAACACGCCATTCACTGCATCCAGCCATCCTTACAGCATCACCCCATGTAAACCCAAACAAACCTTAATAAACTCAACTGTCAATATAGGATACGTCATTACCCCTCCCATGTGTAACCCCGCCAGCCTCTCATCCATACTTTTTAAAAACTACTTACCAGCACTTATTTCACACAATCTACAGTACATCTAAACAATCAATCAGCCAGCACAATGAAACTCACTCTCTTCTCCGCGAAATCATACGATACCCATTACTTCAATCAGACCCTCCAAACTTTTCACCCAGATTTAACCACCATCACCGCTCACCCCTTCGCTCTAACCTCGTCCACCGTCTCCCTCGCGCGCTCCAGTGATGCTGTCTGTGTCTTCGTAAACGACACCCTCGACGCTACTGTTCTGCACGCTCTACACTCCTACGGTGTCCGTGCCATTCTCCTCCGCTGCGCAGGCTTCAACAACATCGACCTCCCCGTCGCCGAAGCCCTCGGCTTCTTCGTCGCCAATGTCCCCAGCTACTCCCCCGAAGCTGTGGCCGAGTTCGCCGTGGCGCTGATCCAAACCTTGAACCGCAAGACGCACCGCGCGTATAACCGTGTTCGCGAAGGCAACTTCAATCTAGAAGGGTTCCTAGGCCAGACCTTGGCAGGAAAGACGGTGGGCGTGGTGGGATTAGGCCGCATTGGAATGGCATTCGCGAGAATCATGAAGGGGTTCGGCTGTGTGTTGCTTGGGGCCGATCCATATGGTGGGGAAGAGTTTGAGAAGGAGATAGGAGGAAGTTATGTCGGGATGGACGAATTGCTGGGACGGAGTGATGTGGTGAGCTTGCATTGTCCATTGACAGAGGGAACTAGACATTTGATCAATGCGAAAAGCCTGGCCAAGTTGAAGAGGGGGGCAATGGTGGTGAATACCTCGCGAGGCGGGCTGATCCATACGAGAGATGCAGTGCAGGCGTTGAAAGATGGAAGATTGGGCGGTTTGGCGTTGGATGTGTATGAGGAAGAAGGGGACTTGTTCTATAATGACCATTCAGCGGAGATCATTCACGACGATACGTTGATGCGACTGATGACGTTTCCCAATGTCCTCGTGTGTGGACATCAGGCGTTTTTCACGCGCGAGGCACTGAGTGAGATTGCCCAGGTGTCATTGAACAATTTGGAGGATTGGGCGAAAAAGCGGTCGTGTAAGAATTCGCTGGTTAGAGAGGGACATTTGTGCGTTGAGGAGGATAAGGAGCCGGTTCGATTGTAGATGTGTGGATTATCTGTAGCAATATACCTGCCTGATTCTGAGATACACCTACTAAGGGCTGTGTTGGGCCCGTGATCCCTGAGTAAGCATTCATTTAGAGTGCAGGAGGCCTTACCCGATCATGATGATAAAGTGCGCCTTTAGTGATATGCCAGAATTAAGACATGTTCATGGGTCATATTGATTGCTGAGCGCAATGTTGTAACCCCAGCCGTGCCACAGTGGCGTGCTCCCGGAGCATCCCTTGCGTCTGTCACCTGATGTTGACTTCCATTCGAAGCCACACATCTCATTGGAATACTCTAGTCGAGGCAGTTCTTTACTACTTAATTCAGTTACATTGTCTCGATGCTGTCATTATGTTCCCCAATGTTGCACTCTTTCAAGACGCGGGCATACTCGGCTCTCGTGAGTACAAGACTCTCTAGCTACAGATCAACCGTCAGCAGTCGTCTCCACCGCAGAGCAAGCACAACGCCGACTTCCACGGCCCACACTGACAAATATATCGGTCAGTCTGGTCGTCGCTATGAAGTTGAGCGGGTTCTTCAGGAAGAATCATCTCCGCCACGTCAGGTTCTCCTCGCAACGTGAGTAGACCTGACTACTACTTCTCATGACCACTCCCTTACTAGTCCATTAGCGCTGGTGATCAGAGATTCATATTGAAATATATCCACGAGGTCAATTTTGAAGACCTTCAAGACGTAAACAGCAGATTACGCAACAATGCCAGCCATGTTCGTCTTGCTCAGGACATCATCCCTGAGAAGTCAATGTTCGTGTTCGAATACCTCACAGGTCATCTTCTCCACCTGGCTCAGAAGGACTTGTCTCTTGGAATAAGAAAGAAACTTCTCAAAGAAGCTCTTCTTGGGATTGCTGAGATGCATGACAAAGACATTGTTCACACGGGTGAATCAATTTACCCTGAGTGGACTAACAGACAGCAGCTTACTCTGGATAGACATTAAAGCGGACAACTTCTTCGTCAACTGGAATCAGGCCGACAAAGGCATCACCATCGAGAAAGTCCAACTTGGCGACCTCGAAGACGCCGTATACATCCCTCCAGGCTCATCCATGCTTGGGAAGCAAGCAGGCAACTGGATGTGGAGGAGTCCCGAAGCCCATGCTAGAGGACGAGTGAATAAACCATCTGATATCTTCTCGTTCGCTCTTGTTGTAAGTATCACCACACTATTCAATTTCTCACTTCGTTAACTTGCTGTAGTGCATCTACGTAGTACATAAACGGGTCATATTCGCAGTCGGAGACGACGAACTAGATGAAGGCATAGACCGCCTAGCCATCGTGATTGAACGTCAAATCTCCTACTTCGGCGACAAAGATGGATTCCATGGCTTTCTCGAATACCTCGGTGACAATCCCTGGGCATCTGTCTTTAACATAACCCTGAATGGATTCAATCAGGACAAGCCGGTCAAGCCATTCTCTCTTTGGCAGGGAGTCGACGATGATTTCAAAAGCCTTATCTGCGCCATGACGAATCTTGATCCAAGGAGGAGGATGACAGCACGTCAGGCATTGGCGCATAGCTGGTTTGACGGTGTCTGAGACTCGCTTTTACTTGTTTTCATTGCCATGGCATGTACTAGAACATCTCCTCTCGTGTTACTGACTTCTCCAATCAATCTACACTCCTGTCTCTTTCGTGCTGGCTCTAGCGCTACAACAAGTCTAATCCGATCGTAGACCAGGATAGTATATATATATATATACATTACAGTGAAGAAGAATTTAAACATGCCTGTCTATTTCAACAGCGCTTTATGTATTATCAGTATTAATATAAATTATTAAACCCAGCAGACTTTTACCCTCCTATATACAGTACAACCCCCACACCCACATTAAATAGCATCCTTAGCCAACGCACTACTCTCCAACGCAATAGCCTTCGGCCCAGTATAACTACCCTGACGAACAAACCAGAACAGGGCAATGAAGATAGTGAACCCACCCGTGATCAAACACGTATAGTTCATAGTTTCGGCATCCACGGGCATCGAGAACGGGAAGCAGAAGATGACAATAAACACGATCATATACAAACAAGTGATCGTATTCACCAGATACCCCGTAATCCCGCTCATCCAGAACCAACCGCGGGGGATGCCCTGACGGCCACGAAGCAAGTGCGGGAGAATAGCAGCGGAGTAAGACAGGGTTGTCAAGACGACGAAGGAGCTGACGAAGGCGCTGAATGCAGTGGAGTTACCGACGTAGATACAGCCGAGGATGATAGCGATCAAGCCGCAGACGAGGACCGAGTTGAGGGGGTTCTTGAAGCGGTGGTTGACTCGGCCTAGGTAGCCACTGAAGGGGGTAGCGCGGTCGCGGGCCAATGTCCAGAGGACACGGCTGGAGGTGAGGTAGCAGCCGACGATGGCGACGAAGAGCGGCAGCATGGAGACGATGATGAGGCCGAGAGAGCCGCCGCGGGTGCCGGTGATTTGGAGGTAGATTTCGGTGAGGGGGAAGAGGTAGGGGGCTTCGAGGACGGCGTTGAGGTCGGTGATGCCGTAGAAGATGACGATGAGGTAGAGGAAGGCAGTGAAGAAGCCCATCACGTACTGGGCGAGCATGCCGAGGGGGATGTTTTTCCCGGGTTTGGGGACCTCCTCGGCCAGGTGGGAGATGACGTCGGGGGTGCCGACGGCGAAGGCGCCGTTAAGCATTCCCAGGCAGAAGACGAAGCCATCGCTGCTGTATCCGGCCTCGTTGAGCCAGTCGCGCCAGACGAAGTCGTCCGTGGCGTAGGGCTGTCCGTTGACGTGGGGCATCACGGCGCAGACAATGACGGTGACGAGGAAGCCACCGACGACGAGGAATCCGCCCAGGGATTCGATCATGGGGAGGGCACGGTTGGCGAATGCGACCAGGAAGCAGCAGAGGATGGAGCAGATCAGGTAGGCGATGAAGACGTGCCAGCGCTCGATGGTGTAGTCGGGGTGGAACAAGGCGTATGCGGACACGACCTGCGTGCCTAGAATCTGCGTCGTCGAGGCAGCACCGAAGATCCAGGCCAGGAAGTTCCACCAGCCGGCGAACCAGCCGCAGACGCGACCATACCTTCCTGCTGTGACGGATGCCCAGTGGTAGACTGTAGAGGTCAGTGTGTGGTTCTGAGTGTATGCGTGGTGAAAGACGAACCTCCACCGGATGATGGCATGGACGAGGCAAGTTCAGCGAGAGATGCAGCAATGAACCAGTAGAAGAATGAGGCTGCGATCCTGTGAGAACATTAGTATTGACTTTAATATAGAATTGCTGTGGCAGTGGACATACATCTCATAGATCACACCGGGCGGACCTCCATCATAGATAGCCGTGACCTGGATGGTAGAAAGTATCAGTTATCGGACGGTCGGAGACAAGCAAATCTACAGATGACGACATCTATAGAGCAAAGACATTGGAAGAAGTCACTCACGATACTCCCACCCAAAGCAATCCAAGTGTTTCCACTAGTCAAAGCCAAACCACAAATGTTAATGAAGCCAAAATTGCGCTCGAGCTCCTGCTTGTGGCCAGAAGCGTTGATCGGCACATCCACAGTGGATGGACTGTCGGAATGTTGTAAGTCGGTGGCCACCACAGGATCAACCTGCTGCTTGGGCTCGTGCTCGAACTCCATCGTGCTCGTGGATTCCAATCTTCTCTTAGCACACAGACATAGAAAAAGACAGGGATGGAGAGATGAGCAGGAACAGATTATGTTTAAAGAATGGCCAGGAGGAGCAGCAGCAGCAGCAGAAGAAAATTTTCCGAGCTAAAGCACGATTAATATGCAGGACTCAGAACCTAAATTGCCATTTAAATGAACACAGTTTTCCTGCATGACTGATCGTACGACGAGGGGGAAGAACAGCCTGTCGCTAATGCATGCGCGATCGGAGGCCAAGAGGCACCGGTTGCCAACGACGGGACGCGATAATGGAATTGTGGATAGAACCGGTCTGTCCGGTCTGTTAGTCCCTGCTTAGTTCAATGCTAGTGGTCGGACCTGAAAGTTTAATTGATGCGTTGTTTAAATTGTCTGGATATGAACTTTGCCTGGAGGCAGGGATCGACATGGTTCCGGGGGTCGGAATGCAGGAGACGGAGAGGAAGGAATTCGAGATTATGAGATTCTGATGATGAGCTTATCGATCAGGCACGAGATCAGATGCGATCGATCTATTGTCCCTGCATGCCGGCTGATTGATATCAGAATACTGAAAAAGATGTTGCTACCTCTGGTTCTTACGATTGTTTGGGTCTTGATGCACCACCTCGCCCACCAGAGTGTCCCTTGAACTGTAAGATGAACAGTCCTATTCAATGGACAGCACATCATTGGTGTAACAAGTCTACAGTATATAAGTGTATAGAGAACTGTGCTGGCCATGGATACCTTGCCTCGACACTCATTCGAACAGCGAGCCCTACATGGGTATCCCTTGCGGGCAACTCTGGCGGGAGGTTTCGCCACATCATCGGCGACAGCAAAGTGCAGTTCCTGGAGCTGATCAACCCTGTCTACTTACCCCTTGTCAAATACCACGACTGGTGGAAATGCTATCCGCATGTTTAGAATATCATTATAATGTCAATGGTCGTCCTCCATCTTGCCTCTGTCCCTCGCAGTGTCCTGATACCGCCATCTTGATTTGGCTCAACGTCCACCTACTGCTGAGGACACTAGTAGGCGACTAATAAAATTTGCCATGCTTGATGGCCAAAGCCAGAAGAATAGCCTGCCAAGTCCTAGATTCAGGCACTTATGAAGCATTTCCAGCTGTGAAGATTGCGAGGGACACGCACTCAACCCTCAATTCAACACCCTACCGGTAAAATGTTAGCCAGCCACTTTCCTTGCCAAGCAGACCAATTAATCCCATAGCAAACTAATCAACTTGACACGAAGCTAACCATAAGGCTAGTCTATTGACAAAAGAGGCCGTTCCGTTTCCACCACTAGCCCAACCCATCTCATATGACCGTGGGGTCTACCTACAAACCAAAGCAGCACGCACAGCACTACTCACCAATAAACCTAATCACATCAACCTCCTCGTATCACGACCCTCACAACATCACTCACCACTCACCAACATCACAAACCCAAAGCATGTTATATCCGTGGACCACCAGCAAGCCAAGCAACCGAGGGCCGCCCGGACCGAACCCCTGAGCACAGATCATCCCGGGGCAGTAGTATATCCGCTTAGCCAAACCAATTTGTCACCACAATCGGCCATCATCCGCGATAACTACTGAACTAGTACAAAACCACGCATGGAGTTAAGGAAAAGTGACTCCACTCCCAGCCAGGCAACCCTGAAACTGAAGGAACATGATTCGTCCTGCCTCATTGATTTAGATTCTTTAAACGTGCTAAAACGCTGCGTAAGACGGACGCGGCGCTAGTGGAGTTCAAATATCCTCCGCGGTGGGGATTGAGTGCGCTCCGACACGCTAAGATTGAGACTGGTTGAAGTTTAATTCATTGCTTTGGATTCTGGACCTCGTCGATTTTGTGTTTGCCTTTGGATGGTCGGATGGTCGGATGTTGGTTAGCGAGGGTTGGGTCTAGAGCACAGGGCTGGGGGGAGATTTCTCTTCAAGGTTTGTAAGTGTGTGTAGAATGAGCATTGGTTTAGCGATAGTGGAATTAGACTAGCTGTCTGCAGCTAGAGAGGTCGTTTCGGTTAGCTGGTGGTTTCAAATGGTGCAGGGATACTATTTTGCTCACAGATTGAAACATTGGCTGTCTTCGACATCGGGTAAAGGATGAGCAGGGGGTTAGAAGATTATTTCAGCCCAGAGGCACTAGACTAGATCCTGCAGATGAACGCTTACCTCCGTCTCAGTTCCTGGTATGGTCTGCTAGTTTCATACTAGCACTCATTGAAACTAACCTGTGCTTAGTTTACTACCAGCAACTATCATTCCGTGCCCTGTCTCACAAAGCCAAGAACACCGAGGAAGGCTAGTAATAGAAGCCCTGAGCGATAGACATATCAGTATCCAACACATATCATCATGGTTATACATCTCACTTTCCTGCTTCATGGCTTCAAAACAGTATATATCTGTTTTGATCTACTTGGACACAGGAATTCTGACATAGTTTCCATCTGCAAGAATTCCAGCAACATACAAAAAGGTGGTCTATCCAGGAACTACCTTACATGTGTGATGAAAAGAAAGGCACTGTCAGTGGAATAATTCTTCACTATGTCAGCCCTTTCACGCCGAAATTGCACATACCTGACGAATGTACTCTTTTGCTTTGGTCCCCCCGGGCTGGGGTAGCTCCATAGACAGGGAAACAGACTGTATGACGCTCTGGATAGCATTGAAATTATAATCCTGGTCAAAGCTGGTCTTCCCAATATGATGCCCTTGGAGAGGGAAACCATAATAATCAGGAGATTAGCGTTTCCTAACTTTCAATGAAGAATGTACTGGCGGTGCCTACAGCATCTTTTCGTATGCATCATGCTCTTCAAACATACCCATAATCAGCACTCAATATCACGTCCAGCTAGATATATCTTCAACTCTGC